ATGTACTGTTATGAATGTATGTATTTAGTATGCTTACCGCTCACCAGTTGAGAGCCCCTTTCATATGATTTCTGTCCCATCCATAATCTTGGTGTGTCAGACTCCTTAAGTTCATGCAATTAAACCTTAACAGGTACATTCAGTTAGAGCTGCACCATCTGCGTTCAGATCATTCCTGGGCGGATGCCAGGAATCCTGTGGAAACTATCTTTGATTGCAGTTCTTTCTAGTAGCAGAGATTAATGTCCTCTTTGTATTGTTTGTTATATAGGTTGAAGGGGACCAATTGCCTCCAGGTCATACTGTTAGCCAATATGAGACATGTAAGATCAGGACAATAAAAGCTGGTACTCTGGAGAAGCTTGTGGAGAACCTACTGACAGCTTTTGGGGACAATGACTTCACCTACATCAGCATATTCTTGTCAACATACAGAGGCTTTGCATCTACAAAAGAAGTTCTGGAACTGCTCCTCGACAGGTAAGACAAGACAGAGTGCCTACATAAGAGACAATGTTTCAGCAACTGTCCTCTTAATTACCATGAGAGATTAAAGTTGAGAGTGGTGTTTGCAGGCTTGTTTTGAGAGGTAAAGCTTCCCACTTCCTTGATTTCTGCTAATCTGAATGGCTTTGGAAAATGCAGTTCAAAAGGGTCTGCAACGTGCTGTTTCAGTTCTGTGAACAGGGATGTGCATAATTTTACAACTATATGGCTTTGCTATGCAATCTCAGCATTTACCATCTGCTATTTAGCAACCTGAGAATGTCACCTTTTATTCTAGAAAAAATATAGTATAGGCTTCTAGTTTTCCTAAGTAAGGGGAAATGGAAGCATGAATCTGGTTCTGAGATGGAACTTTATGCCATTAAGAACTAGTCCTTTAGTGGATACTGTTTCCTGTTTCCACATCCATCTATCTCTATTCTTACATCCTCATTTTTAAAGCTGGCTCCAAAACTAAAGAGAGTGATAGACTATTATAGACAGATCTGTGTACCTCCATATTCAAAATGTCTGGGTTTGGTAATAATGAAGTAGGCAGCTGTAATGCTAAAAATAGTGGGTTAGGTGTTTTTTTTTTGTTTGTTTGTTTTTTTAGATGGTCTGTTATGTTTTCAGGAGTTGATATTATATCATATACGCCAATATTTCACAGATGAAAAATGAGACATGTGGCCAAGCAGCATCAGTGTGGTCAAAATGGCAAAAGTGATCAATGAGAGAAAACACAAGCTAGGAGAGGCTCCAGCAATTTGCTTTTGCCTGGAAAAGCAAGAGTCCTCTGTTTTCACTCCTGCTGAGTTAATAGTGTGGGAACTATTTTTGCCCTTTGAACTCAATTTGCCCCAAGTTGAAGTAAGCTAAAGACAAAGGGGGACAAGTGGGAAGAGGAAAGAGAAACTGGAACATTTTGAAAGCAGTTGGAAAAGTGGGACAGCAAAGCATTAATTGGGACTGTCACTGCCAAATCAGAACAGTTGGAAGATATAATTTTGTAGTGCAATTAGGGCCCGTATCTCCTCTTAACAGTTACTGCAGGGAGCTGTTACGGCCAAAGAGGAACCCAAGGCTGTTTTATCCCATTCACTTTGTCCTTTGCAAGCAGACACACTTCAGTCCCCTGGGCAAATTAAATTGCCTCTTCATACAGTCTGCTTTGCTAGCCTCACGTAATCCATGCGGTTTTCTACAGTTTGTATTGTAAATCCAGCATTGAAAGTGAACAATATTTTAAAAAAATAAAACACAGCAATGAATGTCTTAAAAATATACTGTAGAGGACACCAATACTAATTGAGTGGTTTTAATCACAAATCATAGTTTTCAGTTTTCTTCTAAAAGGCATCTTATGTTGCAAAGTGTGTGGGGGGGTAATTTGTATAGTGTCCCCCCCCAAGATTGAGCTTCCTGTGAGGAGGTCTGCTTTAGTCATGGCTGGCTGGCTGCGGCACAGAACTGGGGGTGGCAGAGGGAAGCTTGTACTGCAGCTGTTCATTGTTGTTCCTGCTTTGTTCCTTAACAAAGAACATCAGTTTGCATGCTGTCAATCCAGCACTTTCATAAAACACAAAGCTATATATAGCATGTTCACTCCCTTCAGTCAGAAGCTTAGGGACTGTTGTTGGGAAGATGAAAAGACCAGCACTTTCCCAGTAACTGGACAGGGACGTCACCATCACCCAGCAGCTGTGGTTTTGATTGATTTGGGTGCAACCCAAAGTTATAGTATCTGTTACTGGGTTGTTGTTATGAACAAATGGGATGAAGTTATGTATTTAGGATGATGTTACAGATGCACAGTCTCTGCTGGCAGAAGTAAAGACTAATTCATGCTAAGTATTGAGGATAGCTTGCCTTTGTTGATGAGTCCCACTGAGATTACATCTGCTCATGGGATCAGAGAGCTCTGCATGGAGTTTGTTGTTTTACTTATTTATGTCATTGTCTCCCGTTTTTAACAGCATACATTATGTGCATACTACAGCCCTTTAATCTAATAAAATTAAATGGATTTTATAGCGAAACCAATAAAATATAAATTAGAAAGAATGACACAACATAATGCAATTTGCTGTTG